CACAAGACCACATTTCTTTCCATGTGGACATTAGGCTCACCCCCTTAGTTGTAGATTACCCCAGAGATAATATATTCTACTTTAGTATATATTAACCATGTCTTTACTTAACCAGATAAGATTTCTATCTAGGCCTCCGGCCTGGGGCTGAAGTTATCAAGCTTGCTGAAAACCCCTCATCCAGAAGGCCCTACCTGGCAATCAAGGTCTAGGAAGAAAATGCGTCAGGCAGATGGACTCCCTCGCCCTGAGGGCTGTGATTGATTACACCTGATCAAACAGAACAGTACATGATGTTTTATGATTATTGTTCCCATGCTTTCTAGAGTAGAATCTTTTACCTCCCCCTCATCCCTCCTACTCCTGTAAACATCCCTCAATAAAAATGTATGTCTCCTAGCCACAGATGCTGCAGTCTTGAGCTTGCTCTGACTGTAGTCATCTGAGAAGATGCCAAAGAACATAGAGGTCTCTGCCTGATTTCTTCTCACCTGCATCGCCTCCATTGAGTCAGCCCACTCCGGCTGGAGCACGTCTCCAGCATCACCCCACTCCAATGTCCCACATTCAAGCACACATCAACCTGGATGACTAGATCCCAGCATTTCCCTGTTTGAAAAGGAACAGAAGTGATAGTGGGGTGGGGGACAGTGGGTGGTGTGGTAGTTAGGGCATTGGCCACTCCCACATGACCAACCAAGTCCAGACCTGGTGACTTGCTTTCTCACTTTCCCTCTTTGTGTGTGTCTCTCTCTGGTCAAATTAAAATAAATGAAGTAAAATGAGTAAATAAAAATTAATTTTTAAAAAAGTGATAATGGGAATACTGTGAAACCCCTCTGTGAAACCCATTGCCTAGTTTGTGGCTAAATCTAGAGAAGCCAAGGGGGAAGAAGAAAATAAAAAGCCAAGGAAAAGACATCTCACACCCCCAAAAATAAAAATGAAAGCAAACATAACCCAACCAGCACCCAAGATCCCCAGCAGAAAAAAAACCACAAAACTAAATATTTTAATGTTATATGACTGGCTGGAGCTTAGGAGTTTCTGGCCAAGTCATTATCAGACAGCGGAAGTATAAATTGGAACAAAGATGATGGAATACAACTTCCTTGTGACTACCCTGCATTTTCATTTGAGTCTATACATGAGAAGTTTTTCCAGATGAGCAATATCTCCTTTATAGTTGCCAAACTAGTTTAATGGGCGAGAACAAACATCGTTTTAATGGGTCCAAGGAAAGCTAATGTGTTATTTCTTTTCTATGTAGAGAGATTTTTGGTATAGGACACATGGGCTCACCAGAGAGAGTCAGAAAGTGAGAAATCACACACACACACACACACACACACACACACACACAGCCGCCCCCAGAGGGGATGGCCACGCTGTAATCCCTCCTCCTCTGTTCTCAGGATTTGGGGCACACACACACACAGGAGCCCAGCTTGAGTTTAAGCTGGGTTTCAGGGATGGAACCATAGTCCACCATGTGGGAGTCCAGTGACGTAGCTATTACACCATCTGCTGGTCCCAATGTATTAGTTTCTTGATTGCTAGCAAGTTTAAGGTAAAAAATATATATATTTCATGCTTTCGAATGCATTTGTAAAATATCATGAATTCTGTAACAGCAATACTTTTAACCAACCTAAAGATAATAAAACTACTCATTTAAGATCATGTACTGACTTGCCTATATTCCAATTGCTACATTTGTCTCACAAATGTGTCAAGTTGTCAAGGATAAAGGATGCCAGGATTTAATAAAGAAGAATTCCGCATCGCTGTCACGTGAGTAGAAATCAACACTGACCCATCAAGCCCTGGTCCACAGGCGACAGTACTGACCTAGAAATCAGCAGAAACTTTTTGTTTACATTGGTTGCTAAGGAAGTGCGCATAGCCTTGTGGGAACTGTGGTATTTTCCCCTCTAATTGTGCACCGCAAAGGACCATGGGTACCATTTTCGGTTTTCTTCTGCGCACGCGCTGCTGCTCTGCTCACACCGCCATCTTGAGTCCAACATTCGTTAGTCTGCAGAGGACTCTGGAACAGAACCAGACTCACAGCTGGGAACACGAATGTTGGTGGATCTTAGGCGATTGGGACTTGAACTGTGGGTACAGGCCCTGAACCTGCGCGGCATCCAAGAGGGCGAGCTTCAGGAACCGCAAGTCTGGGTCGACGAACGCGCGTTCAGTGACTGCATTCTGAGTACTGTGCTCAGCTGGAAAGCTGGTCAAGTCCAAACTGGCTGTGAGGAGGTCGGGGGTGTGGGGACAGCGTGGGTTTCCTGAAGGCTCCTGTTACTAACGTGTATGGTATTCAGTTTACTCATCTGCAGCATGGGTGTATTATGAATGCTGGAGAAGTGCCCCCAAATTGCCAGAAAAATCACTGTGATGCGTGTGCGGACCCAGTCTTATTGGTAGCAGGTGTGCCTGTGGGATTTCTTGGTATCTCCTCAGCAAGTGAAGTTTCTGGTCTCTTCTGGACTTGATAGCCTACCCAGTGTTCCTTTTTAAGTTTATGAGAAACCTAGTTAACTGTGTCTGAGTTCTCTGAGTTTGATGTACAGGATGATTCTGTTTTCTTTGGAACAAAGTAGGTTTTACAGTTTGAGGGAGGGAACCTTATGATTAGAAACCCCATCTGAAGGAACATTCCTATAGTTTGAACCCTTTCACTAGCACTTCAGAGCAGAGGCAGAACCGTGTAGGAAAAGGGAAGATCCTGGCTATACTATCCTACACAGTAATTCTTCCGACTGCCTGGAGTGAACACAATTTGAGTAATACTACCTTCTCTGCAAGCTGTCAAGGATTGGGTGTTATTGGAAGATTTGGACCAGCTTTCAGTAGAGAAATGAGTTGGACTGAGAGAGCTAGGCAAGGGCCTGGGAAATGTTACTGTTAGGCCTGAGAGAGCTAGGCAAGGGCCTGGGAAATGTTACTGTTAAGCCAAGTTAGCTTAATCACCGCCATGTTAGGGAATGCTGGGCCGAGTTAGCTTAATTGCTACACTGTTAAGTCTTCAGGGACGGAGCCCACTTTGTTAGGGCCTCAAGGACAGAAACCAGCAGTCTGGGAACTCTCAGATAGGTGGAAAATGGGAGGGCCCAGCACCTCTGAGGCAAGGTCATCCAGACCCTTAGCTGAGAGCCCTTATCTAGACCTGAGCAGGTGGTGATAGCTGGACCCTCGCTTCTCATACCCTCTCCTTTGTATGTGTTATATTCTATGAAAAATCCTGAACTATAAAAGATCCCTTTATCTTAGGCTCGGGGTCCTTGTTAAGGCCCACTGCAACAGGCAGAAACTTGGACCCCAGCTAGCTGGGAAAAGAATAAAAGCCTCTTTTGCAGTTGCATTGTCATTCTCTTTTCTGCATCTCCATCAGTTAGACTGATCTCTGGACCCTTACATAACTTATTAGAAGGGTCTTGTCATGGTGTAATCTCTGGTGGAGGGATACTGTCACACCTGAAAGGATCTATCTATAGTGCTCTCTGGGTTTTTTTGTTTGTTTGGAGAGGTTTTTGCTATAGGGCCCATTGGCTTGCCAGAGAGACAGAGACAGAGAGACAGAAAGCAAGAAATCATCCCCCCACCCCACATGGCCACGCAGCAATCCCTTCTCCTCCATTCTCCTCTTGGGATCTTGGGCATGCACATATACCCACCTGGCATGAGTTTAAGCCACTGTGTCCAGGACGCAAACCGTGGTCAACTACGTGGGAGTCCAGTGACATAGCCATTACGCTAACTGCTGGTTCCCCGATACAATAAGACATCTTTGATGGATTCTCTGTTACATGTGTAACTTGGTATGGCTTCCAAGATAGGTTCTTCTTTTTTAAATTTGTTTTTTGAGAGAAGGAAAGGGAGGGAGAAAGACAGGCACCATTGGAATGTCCTATCACACTGTGATTCTCTTTCCTATCCCTCCAGTCAGGGTCTCAGGTACACTTGTGCACACCCAGCTTGTTTCAGGGTAATCCAGGATCTGAATTCTTTGTCTTCCATGTGATTCCAGCATTGTAGAGTGGTGAACTAGACTAGACTAGACTAGACTTATTTGTCCACAACTATACTTCACAACTAAACTTATTTGTTCTCAGTAGACTTCCATGGACTTGATCATGATCCTACTCAGTAGCACAAAACTATAAGGTACTTTTTATCTCACAAACAGGGTATCAGTTCTATAAATCACATGTGATTTTCCATTTGGAACAAGGTTAAATGCTGTGGGTGGTGGAACAAAGAGAATTTCCCTAATCCAAGGTGCAGGTAAGGAGCAGTAGGTACTTGTACCTAAATATAGACAGGGTGTGTCCTTAGAATTATCAGCTGTAGGTTTTAAGTGAACGATGTTTTCTAAAATGTAAGAAAAAACATTGGGATGAAATTTCTCAGACAGTATTTCTTTCAAATAATCAATCACAATTTATGCCTTCTCTTCCCATAGCTTTTGGTTTTAAAATTAAAGGATATTAAGGGTTTGTTTTTTTTTTTTAAAGGAATTACTTTATTTAACTTTTTGTTATTTAAATTTGACCAGAGAGGGACAGAGCGAGAAAGTGGGGATGGGGGCAATGAAAAAGCAAGCCACCAGGTCCAGGACTCGAACCACAGTTGGCCATGTGGGAATCAATGTCCTTAATCACCACGCCACCTGCTGGCCCCAAGGATATGAATGTTTTTGCAGTTTAATTATCATATAACAACTCTTGTCCTGAACCTCCACTTAGAAGGTTTTTCATCTTTTTATCTTCTTAGCATCTCCATTTTGTGTTTTCTTATATTTCAATCCTAAAACTCTTCTCTAATTTTTCAGTGCTCTACAATATATTCTAGCTATCTGAAGTTTTTCTTCATTTGACATGTTTGCTTTCTATAAGTGGTAGTTTTTAAGACATACTCACATGGGCCTGGGTGCTTTTCAGTATTATTGTTTCCCTAATTCTATGCTATCTTTTTTTTTTCCTTTGTAGGTATATAGGTAGGAAACGTACATGTGAAAACCAAGAAATGATATCCATGCAACAGACAAGTAAGGACACAGCCACGATAATGTCAATGGTAAGTTCTACAAATGGGGACTAGATGTTTACAATTGTGCACTATAGTTGCCTGACTATAGTTAAATGGTGATTAAACATTTTTTGAGTCCAAGTTTTAGAAAATTTCAATTTAGTGAAAAAATTAACATGAGTTTAAAATCATAATCTGATATCTTTTAAAAATTTGAACACTTACATAAGCATTGTTCATATATTTTTTTTCTCTTTTGTTTCTTTATTTTTTATATATATCTAGTCATTAAAATATATTGAAGTCTTCAAAATTAATCTGATAGTCCTACAGTCAAAAGCTACTTAACAGAGTATCTTTGGCCTGCAGCAGTATCACACACCATGTATATGCAAGCAATAATAGAAATTATAGGCTATGACTGAATGATTAGTCTTGGGATCATGTATAAAGAAATAAATATATGGGGCAGTCAGGTGGCATGGTGGTTAAGATGCTGGACTCCCACATGGCCAATGACGGTTTGAGTCCCAGACCTGGCGACTTGCTTTCTCCCTCTCTCTCTCTCTCCCCCTCTCTCTTTCTGTCTCTCTCTGGTCAAATTAAAAAATAAACAGTAATAATAAAATTGAAATAATTAAAGAAAAAAGAAATATATGGACATGTGTGGTCAAATCATTAGCCACCTTTCATCTCATTAATAAAAGCAGAACTCTTATACTCAGAAAGATGCATTTAAATGGAATGATTTGAAAAATGATTTCACTCACAGTTCTGCATAGACTCAAGATATATTGGGGACCAGAAGGTGGCGTTGTGGTTAAGGTGCTGGACACTCCCACATGGCCAACCACTGTTCGAGTCCCAGACCTGGCAGCTTCCTTTCTCCCTTTCCCTCTCTCTCTCTCTCTCTCTGTGTCTCTCTCTGGTCAAATTAAAATAAATGAGTGAATCAATTAAATAATATTTTTTTAAAAAAAAAGATACATTAACTCACACAGCAAAGAAACCCTTTGTCAACAGACCGTGAAAAATCTCCTCATGACTACTTAGAGATTAACCTACATAAGAAAAATCATACAAGAGGTAGTGGTGTGAGTACCATCTATGTGGGAAAGCTTTTGCAAATTAGACAACACAAGAGGATTCATACTGGAATGAAACCATACAAATGCCATCTGTGTAGGAAAATCTTTACTCACTCTGCTTCCCTTTGACAACATGAGAGAACACACACTGGAGAAAAACCATATGAATGCCATCTGTGTGGGAAAGCCTTCAGTCAATCTTCTGCTTTTAGACAACATGAGAAAACATAAACTGGAGAAAAAAAAAATATGAATGCCATCTGAATTGGGAAAGCCTTCTCTCCTTCTTCTTCCCATAGACAACATGAGAGAATACACAATGGAGAGAAGCCATACGGATGTCACTTATATGGAAAAGCCTTCAGATACAAAGTGGAGCAACATAATACAAATGTCATCTTTGTGGGAAAGCCTTCAATCTTTTTACCATTAGACAACATAAGAAAACACACATAGTAGAGAAAAAGCATATGAATGCCATTTGTATAGGAAACTCGGTTTTTTGTCCCTAGATTCCATGAGAGTGCACATTGGAATGAAGACATAGGAATGTCACCTGTGTGGAAAATCCTTCAGATGATGTGGATGGGTCCAGAATTCACAATAGCTGAAGGCTGACCACTGCCATCCCAGGCCTCTGTGACTTCATTGCCTCTGCCTCTCCCCCTCTGAAGTGATAAAACAATCTGAGACCTTAAGAAGCTGAACACCCTGCTTATCTGACCCTTTTTTCCTGAGAACAAACTCTGGGCTGCATCTTTCCAATGGGCTGCTCTTTCCTGATAGGCTACCCGTTAGCCCACTGGAAACTGACCCTCCCCCAAACTTCCCAGTAAAAGACTGTGCTCCACCCCTAAGTGGGACCAGAGATTCTGAGTGTTTAACTCCTCCGCACCTGCCTGCATATTAAAAAGTTACTCCTCTCTCTCCGGAGTGCTGCCTTTTTGTTTCTCGGCTGTCTGCTTTTCTGCAACACAGACACTCTTCTTATCTTTTGCAACATAAGAGAGTACACAGTTGGGACCAGCAGATGGTGTAATGGTTATATTGCTAGACTCCTATGTAGTTGACTATGGTTCGAGTCACAGACCAACCACTTGAAACTCACATCAGGTATATGTGTGCCTGCATGCCCAAAATCCCAAGAGGAGAATGGAGGAGAAGGAATTGTGGCATGGCTATCCCCATTGGGGGTGTTTTCTCTCTTTCTGTCTCTGGTGAGTATATGCACCCTATAGCAAAAATGTCTTAAAAAAAAAAAAAAGAAAAAAAAAAAAAATATGGGAGAGAAGCCATACAAATGTCATTCTGTTGGGAAGCCTTCAGTCATTCTTATCACCTGAGATTATGTGAGAGAAGGAAAACACACAAGAGAATAAATACTCTCAGTATATATTCTAACCTAAGATGACATGGTATTATAAATATAATAAATT